AGCTAGAATCCTCGGGAGAGTGGATGCAGAGAAAGGTGATTCTCAGAGAAGCGGCGAGAAGGGCGAGGCAGTCAAGCGCTGTGATACCGCCAACGTCCGCTTGGACTATGTGGGACCATGCAATACCAACCGAAGTGGGGGAAATGCCAGAAAGACAAACATCTTTCGGGCGCAGGGTGTAGTCGGTATCCGTTTGTATGCAAAACACAAGGTCTTCATCGTTTGAATCGTGAACGAGTGTGCGCATGCGTAGACTTTCAAGCACCAATTCTTGGCTAGGGGGACACTGGAATTGCCGAAGGAAATCCTTTGAGACACGTATGTCCAAGTTCTTCCAACGTGGTGCATGGGCGTTGACGAGCTCAACTAGACATGCGGACGTCGCTTGGATCTTGGATTGTAGCTCGGCTTTGGCGACCGTAATCCATGCCCTGCTGACAGATTCATAGACCGCCAGTCTGAGTCCCAGTCCTCCTGATCGTGAGAGCCATCCATCGATGAAATTGATGTATGGTTCACCATCGGATCGGTGGAAGTCAATCGAAAGTTCCGTCCAAAGTTTGGGCGTGGCCTCGACGATCTCATGCCATCGTCGGCATACTGAACCCAGAATGATCGGTGAGACACTAAAGCAAGACGGTCTGTTTTCTGGCACCAGCAAGGTGGGGAACCGTCCATCAGGGCATCGACTTCGGTCAAGTGGATAGAATGGGTGACAGAATACAAAGATCCTCGAGAGGACTTCAGTTGGGAGATTTTTCACAAGGGGATCATGACACAGATTTCTGTTTGTCTTCAACTCGAATCTGTGGCGCACAAGGTTTTGAAGAGTCGAAGCTGCAACTTCGATTTTGTTGTCGAGTGCTGTTATTTCATTGCAAGCTGCACATGGGTCGCCATCCGCAAATCCGCAGCTACTGCCTGAGAGGTCCAGTTTCTCGGGAGTGTTGGCCATCCCAAGCAGTGTGCGTAGTCTGGCGAGTACATTGATCTAAGGTGTGTTGTATAAGTGTTGTTTCGACCGAATGAAAGAGAACAGACCTTTGACATTTTTAATTCCAATGAAGGCGAAAGATGAAAAGATAGTCGCATGGTGTTCAATTCATGTTACGGTCCACGTCATTGTGAGACAATTAATTTGGACCAACGTAGAACAACAAAGGGCAGAGGAGAACGGCCATGAACGCAAACTAGAAAATCACCCTTGGCCCTCGGGGCCCAATTATTTCTATACATTAGTGAGCTCCCATAATACATAGGCAGAGGAGAGATTATTTCACTGATGGTGATCGTCCATCGGGTCGCGATCGCTCAATCGACGAAGGAAGTAGGTTGAAACAATGGGGAAGCCACCCTGCAATTTCTCCTCATCCGAGTCGGACGACAACCTGGTGTCGAGACACCCCAGAGATTGACTGCATATGAAGCTCGAGCCAAATAGCAGTCTTCCGTGAGCAAGAGATCTACAGGCGCCAGACAAATTGCGATCATATAGCAAAAAGCCTATGAGAGTCTGAATCCAGATATTTACCTCGCATACAGTGATGCATCTTGTCAAAAGATGTTGGGCACTTATGTGCGTCCGTGGAGTTTCTTTGACCTTCAGCGTGTGGAAGGGCAGGCAAATCCCCCAGCCAGAATGACAAGCTCAGCGAGGTGTGCCATGTACAAGGGTGGAAGGTGGATTATGGAAAATTGGGTAGAATGAACAAAAGGGGACAAGGAGCGATATAGAGAATTAGTAGGAGAAGGGTGGTTAAGAATAGAAGTGGATGGAGGTGGAGCGAGACTTACAGAAAGACTTGACTTGATGCATGAAGCATGAAGGTTGCTTATGAAAGCGGAGTCAGCGCGCTAGACGAGTATGTGGGAGGGCGCTTCTACAAGTGTTCTGGATATGTGTATAACTGAAAGGGAGTAAATATCAGCATGCGTGGGGATAAGAAATGGAGAAAAAAGATGAGGGCAGGAACAAATATGCAGAGAACGAAGGAGGAGAGGAAAGGGGAAGGGGGGGAAAGGATGCAAATGCGGGCGATGAAATATTGGCAAGGAAAAAATGACAGGAAGAAGGACGATATACATATCAATCCAGGTCTGCACGCTACAGAAAAGAGCATCGAGGTGGAAAGGCGAGACGGGAGAAGATAAAAAATAGGAAACGAGCTGAGAGAAGACGTGTCGAGCAGCATCATGCTGGGGTTAACGTTACGGTTGCACAGGTCTAACGGTAGGCAGGCTGCTACCTTGGCCGTTTTACTCCACACGTTTCCTAACCATCGTCCTTGTAAGTTCACAATGGGATGGAAAACAAAGGAGGAGACCGCGATGTACACATCCAGCCCATCTCTCGCCCAACCACTGGCCTGACACCAGGCTCAAGCTCCTCTGGCGCTGCCCCTTCCTCGTCTTTGCCAGGCTTGTACTGTCGAGTCTCCTACTAGCGAACAATCTGTGCCAACCAACATCCCACCCATATCCTCCACAAAAGAAATGTGCCATGCACCCGAAAGGGTCGGTCAGCGCAGGCAAGAGGTGCGTCCGCTCGTCTTGCTAAATGGTTTATGTTCAGTACAACGAAACACTAGCCCAGCCCACCCTCTAGAGCGAGAAAACACCTACAAGAGCATTGACCCGACTTGGCTTTTGGAACAAGCAATAGCGGAGGATATTATGTTCAAAGAAGGCCACTGTTCGTGCTCTCTCATAGTCCCATCCACTGATTTCTCGCTCATCGTCTCTACACCCCATCGTCTCTTTACCTCTTGCTCGTCGTCCCTTCCTTTTGGAGTGTCTTCCTTCCATTCCCTTTCGAGGAGCAGAGTGGGGTAGAGGAGAAGGAGGTCGGTATTGGTCAGAGGTGAAGGTCAGCAGCAGAGGATGCAATAACAGCACAGCTCGACCCAGCAAGGAAGGTAATTCGGACCTAAGTAGAGGAGGCACAACTTCGCCGATGGAAATCGTCTGTCGGGCCGCTCGTTCAGACCAACATAGAACATCAAAGGGCGAAGTAGAAAGGGGAACGGCCGCAAACGGCCAGCAAATATGTATAGAGAGGACCAAGAGAGAACCACCCTTGATTCCTGGGGCAGCTGAGCGAACACACAATCAACTCAAGCAGCTTTACATTAACGAGTTCAGTCTGCGCACAATACGTGAAGGAGAGAACATATCGTTGATGAAGATACTCCAGCCACTTGTGCATTCGCTCAATGGGACAAGGAAGAAGAGACGAGAAGACAAGAAGACGAGGCAGATTTGGCCTATGATTTCGTGTGATTGGAGTCACACGAAAGCCTCACACTGAGCCAACTCGGAGACCAAAAGTCGACTATGCGCCAAGCCTGAGCCAAATGGCGGTTCTCTCTGCGCGCAGGAGAGATACAAGTTGCAGAAAAATCATTCATCTCGAAGCAGGCATCCACCTCGGATTCAATGATGCATCTCACCAAACGTCTGCATCCTTTATGCGCGTCTGTGGGGTTTCGTCGACCTTCAGCATACGGAAGGGCGAGAGAAAGTCCCAGTGCATACGGACAGGCTCAGCGAGATGCATCACATTGCATCTACAAGGGCGGAAAGTGGTTCATGGAAAGGGGATGCGCATGGGGGATGAAAGAAATAATGATAACAACAAAGTGAGACTAACAGCAAAATGCACAAAGGTTGCATATGAAAGCCAAATAGGTGACAGGTGAATGAAATGGGAGGGCGCTTCTACCGGCGTTATGGACTCGTGTCCTGTGAGAGAGAGAATAAATATGAGCATATGTGGGGAGAGCAAGTAAAGAGATGGGAGGAGGAACAGATATACGGTGCTTCTTGATTTCTCGCGACCGCACATTATTCTGGCTCCGGTTGGGTGGGTGTCTTCTATAATTGCAGGGGTGCGGCTGTTCCCTAGAGGCGGGACTACTCTCTACTCTCCCAAACGGCGAGGTCAGGGTTGGTGTGGACACAGAGGCAGGGCTAGACGTGGGCGAGGTGGCAAATACGTCGACGCCAAGTGGTAGGTGTGCGAAGTTGACATTGACATAGATGGTGGTTCTGGAAGGAGGGATGACCAGCGTCGTTCTGAGGTTGCGATTGTGCAGGCCGAACGGCAGGCGAGCTATGACCTCGACTATTCTCCTGTATACACGATACGAACCACAGTGCTTGTTAGAAGAAGCGAAGAGACGGCAGGACTCACCCTTCCCTCACCCATGCGATCATCGACATCTATCGCCCCCATGGTCACGATAGACAGCTTGCGCAATACATCTTCTACCAACCATCCAGATATCCAAGCCCCAGCACCGGTCTGACACCCCGCTCAAGCACCCCTGGCACCCCCTCCTCGTTTCCACCAGGCCCGTACCGTCTCTGTCGAGTCTCCTACCAGCAATGACCCGCACGAACCCAAACCTGCCCATGAAGTGCCATCAGCATCCCTATCCATATCCTTCACGAAAGTATGAGGTGCGCCCGCCCGTCTCGCTGTACGTTCTATGTCTACCGCACAAGATTAGTTATGGCCTATTATGTAATGAAGCATGAGTGCAGGGTTAGGGTGCGGTCTATGCATCAGTGGTGGCAGGCTGGGTGGAGTTTCACGCTCTCACCGTGACTGTCATCCACCGCAAGTCGCTAGAGCTCGTCAGAGTGGCTTGCCTTTCTTTTCTTTATAAACCTGTCTACTACCCACTATACCAAAACTTCCATCTACACTCATCCTCGTTTCAACAACACAACTGTCAACCAGCATGCCACGAATCACCCAAGACCCAAACCTGGCAGAGTCACCAGACTTCGACAGCATCGAGTTCCAGGCCGTCTACGCACCCTTGGCCACAGAGGCAAACCCTGTCGAGAACATCATAGGCACGCTCAAGGCCACCTGGACACACGACAACGACACAAAAAAGGCAGCCTGGGAGGCCCAAGTCGAGCAAGACAAGGCAGCAGAAGAAGCGACCGAACAAGAGCGCCAGGCAGCAGTAGAGGCGGAGGAGGCTATGAAGGAGAAGGAACTTCAAGAGACAGAAGAGGCGAACCAACGCGAAAAGGAGAAGAGGAAGCCCAAGGTCTGGAACTTCACAGTCAACAAAGTCGTCGACAGTGTCTCTGACACCTGCCCATTTCCGTACGCCATCCACAAGCTCCGCCAAGGCGAGTACATCGAGCTCTACTACTTCACACCAGAAGCGTGCTCTGAAGCAGAAAGAGCGGAACAAACTGCAGCTAAGGACAACATCACCTTCACGTTGGTTGGGGACCAGCTCTTCATGAAGCCGGCAGCCGCATACAAGGCGGCGAAGAAGGTCATCCGGGATGAAGACCTAACCTTTAAACAGTTAATGCTCACCAAGAACGACATGCTTCGCCACATGGGCCAGGAGGAATGGCCGGAGCAGCATGTCGTAGCCCTCGGCGTATTCTTCTTCAAGCTGGAGAGCCATCGCCTGCGAAAGCAAGACAGAGGTGACACCGTTGTGCTGCGCTACCAGTCGCAGGTCCGTCACGAGTGGACGGAGGCCCTCAAAGGTACCAGCGACAAGGACGTCTTTGACATCAGCATCATCAACGACCTACGGCTTAACCAGATGTACACCGAGCACCTCAACGCTCAACATAGCCAAGGCGTTTTACGGTAAGTAACCCAATACCAGGTCCTTTCGAATCGCACACTTACAAGCCCCATTTACATGCCCTCCCAATAAAAATCGACGGTACCAACTGCATCGTCATACGTCGCAATCTCGCTTCGCCTACGCATCGCACCACCTGCATCGCATCGTATGTTTCATTTCACCCGCATCCCGCATCCTGCATCATTCTGCATCATACCACGTCATCGCATCACATCACACTGCATGAGCATCACCGTCCTCTCCTACCCGCTACGACATCAATACCTACAACCCCATACTTCAATTCTGAACACTTACGCATCTATGACACTCCTCACACCACCCATGTGCCCTCATGTCGCGTCACACATACCTGTCCAAATATTACACATAATGACCTATGCTTGTGTATCTACGTTACTCAAAAAAAATTACCTA